CCTCTTTATTCTAATGAGCCCATCACTACAGTAGCTAGGGCTAATAAGTCCCAGGGCTAGCAGGTAATGAACGATACATCATCCCCGTAAAATTTGCTGTAGAGGTTCTCATGAATTTACGACTCTACCACATATTTACGGAGTGCTACTGCCTGCGCTGTCATGCTGCTTACTAGTTTTGATGCAGAGGCTCACTGACTCCCAAGGGAGTATATCTAGGTCCTGTCCAAAGAGGTGACAAAAAAAAAAAAAAAAAACACCAACCAAAAACCAAAAAAACCCCCAAACCACAAGGCTCCTTTTGTTTTTTTGTTTCTCTCCCTGCATAGTCTTCCCACCTGCCTACTGGACTCTTCCACTACCCAGACCCCTGCAAGCAAGAAGCGAAGCATCCATGCATATCAATGTCCTTCTCTGACACATAAATCTTTAAATTTTAATTCTTGTGTAGTGCCAGGTGTAGAGACGTGATAGTCAGACTACAGGAATAAAAAGACAAAAAAAGTTATGGATTTCTTACAGATCTAGAAATATGCCAAGAATGCTTCCATTTCACTCATTCCAAATTTTAGACCATTGAGGTCTGAACCTCAATACTTTAATACTGTCAGTAACGCCAATTAAAATCCTTTCCTATTTACATTGTATTCTCTCTCACCATCCAAACCACAAAAGCAGTTTTCTTTGAACTGTTTGAAATTCTTTTTTGATACAAAGATGTTAGTTCCTGCTAAGTATTTCCCACTTCCCCCAAAGCAATTAAAACTCATGTCATCCTGCTTTACATGAAGCTTTCACAATCATTTATCTGCTACAGACTCCTTCCCACTCATGTTATGCAATACTAAAAAACTTGACAGATCAAATCTTTACTCATCTGCTTCCTTTGCTAAAAGTTACCGAAACTATTCAGATCTAAAACATCATGTTTTTATGCAGCTGTATGTCTTTCAATAACTCAGTTGCCTTTTCCATTTCTTCGATAGCTCCAGCTTCCAGAAGCAGAAATATTTTCCCAGACATGTTGACAGCAGGTAAAGCAGCAGAAAAACTAGTAATACTTCACAAAGATAAAAAAAATCTGTTTTAGTAAAGAGAAATTTAGACAGCAACAAAAAATTAAACTTACTTTCTAAATATAAAACAGCAGTTAGAAGAAGAGTCTAACTATCAAGAACAAATTGCTAAAACTAGCAGTTTCTACATAAGCAAAAAAGTCTGGTTTAAGTTAGATTAAGCACTTGATGATAATGATCTTGTCCTCCCTCATTCTTAACTCTTAAGGAAAATTACTCTAAAAGGTAAAGGGATTTTAAAAGTGGTGGTGGAAAAAAGTTGGCCTAATCACACAATGTCATCTTTTCACACGGAAACAAGGGCATTTGATCATTCTAGCTGTGTCTGTACAGTATCCATCTTCTCCAACTCCATACCCAATGCATCGGAAACAAGGGCATTTGATCATTCTAGCTGTGTCTCCAACTCCATACCCAATGCATCATGTATCTCTTGGCCATCAATTCCAGAAAGCAGGGATCACAAAAAGATTTTTATTTTTTACAAGTTTTCCTTGACAAATGGATGGCTGTGAAAATGCGAGCAACCCTAAACCCCCTGTATTTGACCCACCTGACAAGAGGAGCAGCTAAAATAAGCTGCCCAGGAACCCTTTGTCAAGCTGCCAGACTCAGCAAGAGCGCACAGGGGACAGAGTCAGGAGCAAGGGATAACGCTAGGTGAAGGAATATAAGAAGCCATGGGTGCATTTGAGGGATAGCAAGAAGGAGGGAGAGAAAATCAGGGTGGGTGGGTGTGAGTGCACATGCATGGGTGCACAGGGCATAGGAACATACAGAGAGAAGCCTGGTGGAGTGGAAGGATAAGCAGAATTCCTTCTAACCCCAGATGTTATTAGTTCTACTGTTCATAGAAAAATCTGGCTATTTTTTCTTTTTTTGGGGGGTGGGGATGACTAGGAGAAAAGACTGAAGGCTTTGTGGGTTTGGTGTTTGGGTTTTTTTTTTCACTTAAAAGGAAGATCTCAAGGGTGTTTGCTTTGTCTGCAGAATTAGAAATTGTCTTTTCTTTTATAGTATTAGAAAATCAGTTATTAAAATAATTAAGAACTGAAATATAGAATTACCGCTATAAAACCATATTGAGAAAGGTGAATTTGCTGAATAACTGAAAGACAGTATTTAACAAAAAAGAATCATTTTAGACAGCCCCAGAAGATCTTTTTTCTTAAGACAGGCAGAAGCTAAGAGGTCACAGCAGAGAAAAAAAATACATAAAACCCCATTGTAGAACAGCTTAACTTCTGCAATTCTTTCCCTTTTTTTCCCCTCCTGATGATGTAATTGCAAAGAATAAAAAACAAAACAAAAATGCCTGGATACAGATGTTGACTGTTTTCTGAGTCTTCAGAACCTTCTCACATGCCTAGGGAAAAACAGGTGCTGTTAGAAGTGGTGTGGGCTTCCAGGCGCTTAAAGGGAAGTCATATGCTCTTTCCTCTCTAAAGATGATTTCCCTTCCTCCCCCTCAAATGGTAACACATTAGCATACTGCCATGAAGTATTTCTGATACATTTCAGTACCAGTTTCAAAAAATAAACTCAACAACTTTAAAGTATTAGAGTAATTGTTTTGGTTTTAATGACTATGTAAGAAAGAATTAGTAGATCTAAAAATCTAAATTGCTTGTCTATACGGGTCTTTATTACAGGTTTCACCAATTCCAGAGAATTTATTCTGGAACAAGGTAACTGCTGAGACCCAGGTGACTTCACTTCTATGTCATGAGAGAACTGCTAGACACAGCTCTCTGCAGACAGACAAGGTTGGTCAGCCCCTCACACCAAGAAAGACGGGCACCTTCACAGCCTCGCCTCTACAATGAATCACTTCCAGGTTAGCCAAAGGCAGGCCAGGGAGTAAACACCATTAAAATAAAAACAAAATACCAAAACAAAGTATATTTACACTGCTGCACAACAGACCACCAGTAAGGGAAAAACTGCAAATAAGTCTGTAGCAAAAGAAGATTGAAAATGCAGTAGTGCCAGCAGGAAACACTGAAGTAGCTCCGGAGCTGGAAAGACTGGAGACACTAGATAAGACAGGAAGGTTTCTGCTCCATGGGAAAAACATAAATATAGAGTTGGATGCTGGTGGTGTTGATTTTTGATCGGTGGACACCTTTCAAGCAATTAACATTTCAAAAATCATCTCTACATCATGTATCATTTTCCCGGGGGTGCTATCGAAAGCAGTACCATTTAACGCAGCACCTGATAAGCACTCTCTTCCGAGAAAGGCATCAGCCAGACTGCAGTAGCGTGGTGTTATACTATGGCGGTCCTTTCCCTCTCATATAAATAGAAGAGCACAAAAAGTGGTGACTCAAGAATAAAATGAGCCACCAAATTACCCTGTTGGACAAAGCCACCAAAGTGGGTTTTAGGTGTGATTGTATCGGCAGTCATTTTGAAGCAGTACTTTCTTCTTGCTGGCTTTATTGTCTGGAGGGTGGGGTTGGTTTGGGTTTGCTCATTTCTGTTACTCCTACAGCAACTGTGAGAATTTCATAGTTGTGTGAGAAATCCACATTTGGACTGCAGTTTTTCAGGTGGCAAGCTGTCACATTGAGCCCCACGTGTGATTGCTTTCATTCGAGAGGACTCTTTAAAGTTCTGTCACACATCTGGTTTCATGATCTCTCTATTCTTATCACAGGAGATATACAACATTATAAATCATTTTTAACAGAGAAAAAGATTTTAAGGTATTCCAGTTAACCAGCACCAATTAAAAAAAGACTCAAGTTATTATCGTGCATGATAATTCCTATCCCTTTCTCTCCGTTACTTGAAAACCTATGCGACAGCCTTCCTTTTTTAAAGAAAGTACCACAGGGAAATATTTCTCTTTTTTTGTTACTATTAAGTTTTCTTTCTTGTGAAATAAACAGCAAATTAAGGACTCAAAATAGATATCCACATCCCCATATTCTGAATTTAAAAGATAGTTATAATATTCATATCCTTGCATTTGTGAAGACAAATTTAAAACTGCATTCAATTCCTGTTACCTTCTATAAACAAACACCGTTACAAAAATATTGCATGAACTTTTGGTCTCTTAACAGGCAGAATTTAAGACAAAAATGACATAACCTTTCAAACCAGTATTAGTTCAAAATAAATATCGCAGGAAGACAGTGGATATGTTTCATGCATGCTGCCTATGTTCCTACTCACAAGTCCACACAAAGCACCTATCTTGTCAATATGATTGATTTCTTTATGCCAGATTAACATTTGTGGTGAAAGACGGGACAAGTCCCTAAGAGGTCAGAATGAAGAGCGTAAGAACAGGTATTCCATGCCTAGATAAACCAGCTGAAGTATCACAGAAATTTGCAAAGGATAACCTCAAAAAATCCTCTCTCTATATGATACCTTGGGCACAAGCTAACTGTGATTCATTTGTGTGTGCAAGAAGTACTTGTCAAAGCTATCTCATTTAACAAAGAGGATCATCGCCCAAATTAGGGATAAATGCATATATACAAAGTACCAGTTATACCCTTAATTAAGAAGTCGCTGTGACTAGATTGAAAAGAATTACCTCATCACTATAAAACTGTTAGAGGAAAACAGTCATTTTAGCATAGTTCTCTGTAAAGACTGTTTTCCACTAATTTCCCAACCCCTAGGATTAATGAAACTGAAAAACTAGTACATGATGATCCATTTTTTCAGATTATTTTCTGCATTTCTGAATATCACAGCAACAGAGCACAGAAGACCTACTGAAAAGGGACAATTTTGCTATATAGTCTTACAACTGAGAACAGGATTCAAGGATTTCTTTATGGGACTGGTCTTGAGAAAAGACTTAGTGAGAGTTACAGGATACCCCAAAGGAGAACTTATGTTTAACTTCACAGTGTTGGAAAGAGGAGGATGGGGAAGGATAAACCAAAAAATTCTTACCTATGACTTCCATCCAGATTTGATTTATGGATGAAATTTAGTTTAGCATCTGCCCAATAAAGTTTCTGTTCCTCGTAATCCAATGTCAGTCCATTTGGCCAATATATGTCTGTGTTGACTATAACAGAGCGGCTTGAACCATCCATCCCAGCACGTTCTATCTTTGGCACTTCTCCCCAGTCTGTCCAATACATGAACCTGTAATTATTTTAAAAGGAGAAAAGACAAAAAAAGAAAGCAATCACATATATATCTACAACTGGAACACTGGATATACTTTCAGTAAAGGCAAAGGTGTTCTCTATTCTGAAGAGATAGTGTCTGTAGGTTCTGTGCTACTGGGTAAGGTAGACATGTCCTGTGAAACACAACAGAACAAAGTTACTTTACAAAATGATGAAGAAAAACAAGTTGGGGATATCCAATGGACCTTGACAGTAATCTCAGAATTCAACATTTAACAGCAAAGATAGATATTAAAGACTATCATAAAAGCTGAAACAGAAAAAGAATGTGTGTGGACTTAGACTGGACAGAGCGGTTGCATGTGAAGCAGTGAAGTGGATTTAATGGAAGACCAATTCGTGTCCTCTTCTTCCAGAGAAATTCAGAGGCAGGTAGCTAAGTCAACATGTTTAGAAGCACAGTTTCCACCCACTGACCAGGCAAAACACTCTGTAAAATCTTTTAAGACTAGGGAAGCAAGTTTTAAAATATGTTAGCATATATTGGCACGTGTTTAATCATTATTTAGCAAGTAGTGGGGAGAGGGAAGCTACCTAGTTGCATTTAACGCTGAGGTGAAGCAAGGGAAACTACTTTATTATGGCTGAAGGCTTGTGGGGGATAAGAATATTTGTCTTTTTTCTGCAGGTGGTAGAAAATGGATTTACTTTTGCGGGTTGTTAACAGAATGCATAAGTAAACAGAAGTAACATATAACATAAACAGATTAGACAAAGTGTGTCAATGAAGCTTGCTCTGTTTTGTTGTTGCAGCTGGGACAGACAAGACGACTACTGTCCTAAATTGCTTCTCATAACCCCATGACATCTGCCAGCATACCTGCTTGTATCTGTGCTCTCTAACCTGGCTCAGTCAAAACAATCCAGATTAGGAAAGATCTGAAGCCTTTAAACTAACCCAGATCATCACACAACCACAATATGTCACTATATGGTGCCCACATGTGAAGAGGCCTGGCCACCCATCCTTTAAAGAAAAACAAATGTGCAACACATTTAAGAAACATTTGCAGATGAAGTTATTCTTGGCAAAGATTTTATTTTTTTTATTTTAAAAAGTCAGGAAATACCATGTCATATTTTTCCCCTTAATTCATGTCTACAGCGTGTTTGTTTTAATGCACAGCTATATCTGCAGACAGAAATGCAGCTGATTAACACAAATATTGCCCTATTCGATCCCAAGTGAGTCATTCTTTATGGAGCAACATGCCTGTCAAACACAAAGCACAAATATCTGAAGAGAACATGTGAGTTTTCTGTAGACATGAACAAGTGCTGAAGAGAAACTGGTGCTCCATCAGAAAGAATAAAATCCAACAATTAATTTTCAGATAGGTAGCACAGTAGCAAGTTACCTGCTCAAGCTGTGCAGTGAGAGAAGTATATACTCGGAAAAAAAGTTTAAAAAAGCCAGGCAGCATTTCACCAGTGAGCACATGTGAGAAAGAAGAGAGAAAAACAGATTTGTTTAAACTTCTTTAAAAAGCCCCTTCTTTGCCCCAGCTGTCAAGTCCTAGACTTCCGAATACTTCATCAAGGTTAATAGGTTCCAAGGCTCCGGCCACCCTGCTAGACCAATTTTTCAGGCTGAAACAGCTCATTAGTTGCTGTACAGCCTCATCTTCTTCCCTGTCTCCCTCTCACCTCTCATGCATGCTGCAATTACTCAAGCAAAAACAGGTAAGGGTGGCTTGGAAACAAAGAAAAGCCTTCCCCGACTTCACAAAACTAGCCCTATTTGATTTGTCAGAGGAGCGCACATGCACACAGAACTGGCTTTAAAATTCAGTAACATTTCCAATCAGCTCTGATGACCTCTGCTCAGTTTCTCCAAGAGGTTTTTTTCCCCACTATCAACCTGTTTGTTTTCCTCCATCTTGCTTGAAAGTCTGTGTGTTTTAATGCCTCCATTAAAAATCTTTGGAACCAGCCATGCTCCAGCCAACGGCACCAAGGGCTGTGCTTCACTTGGGAAGCCGGGCTTTTCATTGCTGTAAAAGTAATGCAGGTTATAGCTTGATGACCACTTCCCTTCGGTAAGTTGCTTTTAAGCAGCTTCTTGCAGATCATCTTTGCTTCCAGTACTGGGCTTACATGGCCATGGAGGAAACCGGATTCAAGGAACAGGCTAAAAATCAGTCATCAGTCTGAATGCATCCCAGCGCACAGCTCCATGAACGCTTCCACTTGCACGCAGGGTGTAGGTTTCTATAGCTGCCTCAACCGGCACTGGTGTCAACAACAGTGGCTTTCTTACTCAGAAAGTGCACTTAGGCACTTTTCTGCAACAGCTGATCAAGTACGGGCATAGGCACCAGGCACAGGAGCAGGAGGGGATGGGAAAAACTGTGTAAAACAGCTGGAAGAAACGCTCCCATCGTAACCATGCTTTAAGTTAACTGCAACTGCTAAGAGGCAAAGGAGACCTGGCTAACATCCAGAGGAGAGTGGAGGGGACGGACAGATGGACACGACTGCAAATTCCCATTACTGCTGAGGTCTTTCTACAGATTTTTCTACAGAGATCTCAGATCCCTCTTCCAGGTAATATTAAACTGTTCACATATGTGTGCTGGTTCCTCCTTTCTGGAAGGCTTAAAGATTCTTATTTCATTATATAATGGTTGGTAAGTAAACCATACGGAGACCATACAGAAAGGAAGATGTTACGACATACAGACTTACTGAACGATGGTAAACCAGCCATACAGACAAGGTAAGAATCATTCTCCCTCCTCCCCATCCTCTTCAAACATGTTTAGTTATTTCCATTCAAAAAAAAAACCCCCATCAAACCAAAAAAACAGCCACCACCAAAGACCACAAGATAGAGCAAAATATTAACTGAAAAGTAATGTCTCGCGATAAATGATGGCATTCAGATACCACCAGAAGACTACTGTTCTGCTTGCCTCTCTTCTCACCTAGTTATACCTTGCTGTCAAATTTAAATCCAGGAACTGAGATTTTCATTCTAGCCCGGAAGAGGAGAAAATAAAAATTTTAGAATAAAATCTATACTGCCCTTTGAATTTTAAGGAAAAAACCCATAGACATGTAGCATGTTTACCATACAGCGGTACAGGCACAGAATTGGGCTCCATGCTGGGCAAATCCAAGTCCATAAGATCCAGAGGGCAATATACAGGCACGCTGTAACTGGCTTCAGCAAGCCTGCTTGGGTCCAGAAACAGGAATGCTTTCTCATGCTTCGTAACTTTGGCTGATAGTACTGTTATTCCAGGCAGTTACAACCAGGACAGGCTGATACTACAGCTCTGGACCTGTCCAGCTGCTTGTTTCCGACTCCTTGCTTAAGGTCACCCCCCTACCAGGGTCAACAACGAGGATGGCAAGCCCAGGCCTCGCCGCTGTACCTTACATACCAGCTACTTCATCCAAACTCACCTTTGCAAGGAGTATAAAACTTGTATGGAGAAGCTGTAGTACAGAACACAGTCAAATGTAAAAACTGCAAAACTGAGTAAATGTACCCCCTATGCCTAGGCAGTTTTTAAAGATACATGGCATACTTTCTTACCTAACAGGAGTACCAGACTTAGCAAGAAGAGCTTTTATTTAGTATCAAATCAATCCATATAGAGCGCCCAATCTTTCTTCAACCTAGTAAGAAATAATGCCACAGCTTATTAAAACTGGTCCCATTAATCTAGTCTTCTTTTTACTATTTAAATAATTAACTGCTGTGTTTTAAAAAAAAATGGTTTTAAAGAAATAAACTTAATATTTTGAACTGCTTTGTTATTTTCACCTGTTGTATTTTTCTCCACACTGTTAAGTGCTACGCTCATCAGATTTCACTAGCAGACTTGGGAAATGGCTGTGAGCTGTTATAAAAATCTAACAAAAAACCAACAAAGTGTATTTCTATTTATCTGCACTTGTGATTTTAATATTAGGGACTCATGTCTGGAAATGATACGCCCTTCCCCCCACCCCTTTAAGGAATTAAGGCACATCAAGCATTTGACATATACTTATAGAATAGAGGAAGGTTCTCAAGACTGCAGTACTTAGCTGGTATTTTGTTTGACTATGGCCCAGAATGGTGGTTTACCTTACAAGGTTATACAGCCCAGAATGGTGGTTTATCTTAAAAGGTTATACCATCTACAAAAATTACAAACAAATAGAGGACAAGCTTTGATG